CAGCAGAACGGCGGCGGCCTGGCCCGGCCCTTCAGAATAAAAATTCCCCCGTCGCCGCCCCGTCTGCAACCACGCGCTGGCTCCCTGGCACGTCGGTACGGCGAAACACAACCCTGCTGCCGAGAGGGAGCGGGAGGTACCAGCCAGGACTGCCGACAAGCAGATTAAGTTTTCCACTTTAATTTTAATAAGTGGCTGGAGGTTGAAAGTTCAACAGTTGCTCAAGACAAGCTCAGAGGCTGAACCCGTCCTCCGGCCTGGCTCTCGCTCTTCCCAAGACCCAGGGCAGGCGGTTAGACCGATTCCAACAAGCAGTGCGGCTCTTGTGGTAATTTTGAAGTGCTTCACGAGGACTTTTCAGATCCACTTTGCCCTCCAAGGCCCAGGGAAGAGGGTGGCAAGAGCACCCAACCAGGCCCTCAGGGGCTTTCAGCACTCTGGCTTTGAGGTTTTTTTTCCTCCTCTCCCAGAGCGCGTAAGGAAACCAGTGAACATCTCTGTCCGGGGCAGCGCCACACGCTGCGGAGCGCTTTGTATTTAGGTTAGTTACACGGACACTTAATTACGGCTCTCATCCATTATTCACGGGGATGGCACGATGAACTGGAACGGGTTTACTCCATGGCGGCCGCGCAGCAAAGCCAGCCCAGCAGTCACGCAACCCGCCGTCCTCATCGACGCCTAAGGAGCCGGAGCAGAGCCGCGCACGCCGGGGCAGGGCCCACTTCGGAGAGCGTCAGTGAGCCTGGGTTTGAGACCCGATCAGGTCGCTCCACGGCTCACGCGATTAAAGCAAACCCCATCAAAACACAGAATCAAAGCCCACAGATGCTGAAGCAAAACAAGCCCTCGGGCTGTTGTTGCTCCTGCCAAGCGCAGGGAGGACGAGGCCTCTCAACCCAGCCAGGAAGGGAAGGGAAGGCTCTGCTCACTCGGAGCAGCTGGGGCCAAGGATGGGAAAAAAGCCATTAGAGGGACGAAGCCTTTATTACCCCTGGCAGACTTCAAATTCTCGGTCATTAAGCGCTCAGTGCCTTGAGACACAATGCCCCAGCCACTGGACCGTGCACCGTCTGCAGGCGCAAGCTCACTGATTTCAGACGCCGGCTTTCCCTGCCCACTGCCTTCCCGCCAGCCCTCTCCCTCTGCTAGTAAAGGTTGAGTAAACAAATGTACTCGGTCTCCCAGACCAGGAGGGATTCGGGCCACTGCTGGAACAGGACGGCTGTCACGAGAGGAGGGGGAAGGCTGTCTTTCGCCCCTACGAATGTACGCCCAGGGTTGTGCCTGAGCAAGAGCAGCCACGGTGCTTTGCCCACCCGCACCCAGCGCAGCTCCGGCTGGGATCTCCCGCTCGACCGCCAGCCTCTGCTCCAGCATCGGGCAGTTTTCAGGCAGAATGTGGGAGAAACCCCAAAACTGGCGAGATCAACGTGCCAGAACAGAAGGAGGGCCGCAGAAACCGCTGCAGGCCCAGCAGTCCGCGGGAGGAAGCCATTTCGTTAGGTGTGA